AATATAACAACTGGAGCAAATTAAAATATAATTTTTAAAAAAACTCAGTTAGGCTTAAAGTAGGAAAATTCATTTATTGTAATTTGTTTTTATTTTAATTTGATTAGCAATAAAACGTTCATTCATGCTTCGGTGTATTAGTCGATATAAATTATTTACTTTAATAACTCAGTAATAAAAAGGACCTCGCAATGCTGATGTCACCAACGTCCAGAGTTAGTCAAACCCCGCCACTGACGTCCAGATTGTAGAAAAATGACTCATATTTAGTTGTTGATATAAATATTTCTGTACCGTACTTTTTTTAATATAATTAGTATCATCTATAATATTCATAAAGTTTACAAAAATTGAGAGCACTACTAACTTTAACCGTTGGGGTTGTTGTTGTAGCTTACTACTAGTTTCTATGTCCATTCTATTTGCTCACTCCCGTTTTATACCTTATTCTGTTTAATTGTCGTTCTAGATGTCGAGCACTGATCTCAGTTTTTAATTCTATCAATTCAACCTTGTACATTCAGTTGTTCTGAATCAAGATAAATACATTTATTTAATGGATGAAAATAAAAAATAAAATAATGCTTGTATTAATGTTATTGTTGTTGCGGTCATATGTTTTGACCGTCCTGAAAACATTGCTACTCTAGCGGGAGTAATAAGCAGAGTATATTCCTCATGGATAAAGGTCTCTATATTTATGACTATACTTATCAATGTGTGTCTAATTAAACTAGATATCACATGAAGAATCAAATTTTAATATAAGAATATAGACATAATTTAGTTAAATCCATAGGAAACTGTCTTTTGCGTCTAGTCATAATCAACTAACTTTTATGTGTTCAAAAGTGGTGTCCGGCCAAAAATGGTTAATTGGTGTTACTATACTTAAAATTTCAAACTGTGGTTAAATTGATTTTATAAACAATGAACCAGAAAGTCTCGCCTTTACGAAATTCACAAACGAACTTAAAAGTGTTTTCAGATGTCTAAATGTATTGATTTGGTGTTGTTAAACTTAATGCTCGAATTTTTGATTTCTATTACTACAGAACTTATTGTAATCCACAGACATAATTTTTGTCGTTTCGATTATTTTGTAAATATTTAAAGAGCGGTATCATTATCAAATGTTGATAATGATACCGCTCTGTGCGGATATGTTGAATTGACGTAACTCGGATGTAGGTATACAGCAAATGTAATATGTTATACACCACTTATATTTTTAAGGTTGGAATAAAATATTTATTTCGTATTTATATTCCTAACACAATAATTTTAAGTCAAGACATGCGATTAATACTTAAATTGGATAATTCATGCAAAACCTCTCTCATTATTGAGATCTTCCTCAGGAGTATAGAAAGCTGCGTACATTTTTTTTACTAACCAAGTTAATTATATAATGATAATCAGTTAACTTCTGAATCAGTGCACCTATACAGAATAGAGTTTCGAGAATTTCGCTGCAGCGCTACAATTTGTAGACTGTCAGATAAGACAGGTAAGTAGTCTGAATGTTTTAAATACAATTACATCGTAAGGATCATATAGTTCTATACATTTCTTACCTTGTTTTGTTTTTAACCTGGAGTTATAATCTGTGTGTTGAAGTCGCCACAAGGTCAATTTGTGGACCTTGATATCGTTCTAATAGTGATATTAAATTACCATATGTATGCAGTTGGAATTAACGGTTGTTTGCAATTTGCAATTGAAGCGGAAGTTGTTTGAAAGTTTTTTAAGTTTAGTGTAGTTTCTAGTTGATGAAGTGTTTTCACTAATTACACTAGCACTACCGTTTTTGGTGTGTTTTTCAGAGCGCATCTTGTGATATATTCGTTTAATATGATATGTGAATAATATATATGTATAAATGTTTCAACATATATATTTTGTTTATAAGATAAACAAATTGTTAATAATAAAAAAGGGTTCTGACTACTTTTTATTTTTCATTAGATAATATACATTGTAGTGCATCACATTTACAGAGTACCTGTGCTTTGAATATTTGTAGCTTTAGCTGCTTGTGGTTCGTCAACTTAAAGCTTATATTACATTACAATTGCCAAACGTATTGAATATCAACCATAAACTGACAAAATAGTTGCCAGTTAAAGAAGTTTTGCAAACTAACAAAATGATGTCAAATAATAAATTTTTTGCAAAGTCAGGTTATGGTAAGATCTTGAACGTAATGAGTATTGGCAGTTGAATTTAAAAGAGTAGTTTTTTGGTTGTTAGTTTCCAGTGAAGCTATTAACGAGACTGTATAGCTGTTATTGTAATTAGCAGTAAAATTAGCTCGACCAAGCGTAGATAGAACGTAATTTAAAAAGTTTATTGATTTAATTGATAACGATTCTAAAACAAAATAATTACTTAATTATTAAAGTTTGTGAATACGCATCTGGCCTGGACACTTCTGCTGCAAATAAATAATCAAATATTATCTTCCATTCGGGAATTTTTACAAAAAGTAATCCATAGAAAACGCAATTGCAGATTTATGTTATATTGTAATTAGCTGAGTTTCTGTTAATATCATAATAACAAAATATATAACATCAAAAAAGAGTGGAATGCGTTGATTTGCTAAAGTAAATTGTTCTTACGCACATCTTGATGGTTCACTTCGGATAAAATTCAGAAAACTTAAAAACGATTTGGGATATAGTATATTATTAATTATCTTTAACCATAGTAACGAAGTAGGAAGCAAATTTATCTTAACAAACACTGAGTCACGGCAGCATCAGGAACTGAGGTGCAAAATAAATAAAATCACAAAGGAAAAAAATTATGTGAATAGAATCCTCAGAAACGCCTCTTAATGGCTTGACACCGTATGATACTAAGTATTTTATAATATAATAATACTGTTTCAAATAATTTTTGGGATTTATCTTTATTGTGATGGCGTTTATTCATTCAAATTGTTTTAAATAAATTTCTTTGAGACTTAACCCCATTAATTTACATTTAATTAAAATACGAATTAGTATTCAATTCTGTGTGACAATATGTTCAATTGAAACTGAGTGCTTCACTATATTCAAGCCCTGTTGGATTAAGGGACTTATTAATTGAAAACGATGAAAACTGGTGAAAATATTTTTTATTACATCAAATTCCATAAAATTTTACTGTTTCGAAATAGAAGTTTTAGGTTAAAGTAAAAATTTTTTTTATTTATAATAAATTATTGTTTCTTACAATGAGATTGTGAATAATTTTTTAAGTTTTAATACTACATAATAAATATTGCAATTTATATTTTAGCTATATAATTGTAGTATAATAACATATATAAAAAATAAGTAAACCTCATCTTACGAACCTTATTTAATTTAATTGGGTTAAGTCACATTAAGATAAATAATGAATAATGTATTTAAGACGATGAATTAAATTTGCAACTCACAAAGAAGTGATGTTACTTCTTCTGGTTGTTCAATTCTAATTAATGGATCGTTGGTCAGATCTTTTTCAACGAGAAACACTAGATATAGTGTAAGATTTCTAGCTAAGGGGTTTTCATGTTTTGTAAGCTTTTTATTGTATTTATTTATAATGTTTTCAAACTAAGCTTCAAGTAGTGGGATTTGTAGATCATAGTGAATACTTTCATTTCTAATAGACTATAGAGTGTCAGTTATTGATCGCAATAATTTTCTATTATACAAAAGTAATTTGTATTTTAGAGAGAGGCTGATCCTAATGAATTTATTAATATTTTTTCTAAATAAAATATTGAAGGTGTTTAAAAGCTGCTACAACATTTCTGATTCGCATAAATTCCTTTTGTCATTGCAAATGTTGTGGTGACAACATTTTTTATTATTGTTAAAAAGTTTAGACTTGTAACAGCCGGTACTACCGCCAATTTCACTATTAATTACACAAACCCCTTTAAAACTTTGTGAACAAAGTCCAGAACTAAATCTGGAGAAGAGTTCTTAATCTATTCTGGTGACAGAAATTCCATATGAAACAAGTTTCTTCTGTGCGTTATTAAAGCAGGACAGTCACAAAGAATGTGCATAGTAGTTTACTGTTCTTTGAGGCATAATTTGCATTTCGAATTAGATAATCGTAGTTTATGAAATTAATATTTTAGGCCATAATCACCTGTAATGAAACCCGATATCAACCTTAAATCACATTTTAAGAATTTGAGAATGTTTTTGTAGGAGTACGGTTTTATCAGTGCTTTGCTTTGTCTAAGTTCTGAGAAGTCTTATCAGTACTTCAGCTGCATATGATTTTCCCTCTCATTGATAATTTGTTTTGTGTAACCCACAAAAGGGTTGAGGGCCTGTGAAAGCAGTTTTTGATGCAGTTCTGGCTAGCTCAACAGCTTGTTCATTTCTCAAAAATTCCCTGTGACCTGGAACCTAGTAAAGGAGTACCTTATGCCGAACTGCAAGTAACTGTAGGAACTTACAACACTCAAGGACCTGTTTCGCTTTGACAGTTCAAGAAAACAGAGCTTTAGCTTGGTCTTTTAATGGGATAACAGATGTTTAAAGTATATAGAACATAGAACGTGTGTTTGATTTAGGTATAGGATAGTCTCTTGAAATATTGTATTTCAGTAATTGTAAAGTGAGGGACACTGCTAACAAGGTTAAGTCGTTTTCAGACGTCTTCATACTAAAACACCTGTGTCAGGATGTGCTTTCCCCATCAGGGTGATTGATTTTGTAGAATAAATAACAAGGAAAACAGAAATTCTTATTTGTTAAGTGTATTTCCGAGTAAAGCATTATATCTTTTAGGTAACATAAAACTAATAAGCATTGCAGATACTGAATTTTTTGAAGTTGCTCTGGTTGAAGAAACGATATGGAAAGTGCTGTTGCCAATAAGATAAGCTTTGAACGTATCTAGAGGGTTAAAGCAGCATTCTTAGAGTTAAATGGAGGTATTTTAAATTTTTGTAATTTATTATTAATTTTTATTAATAAAATATTATTTATTACCATTATTTTCCTTGCCTGCACATAATATAGTACTGCAATCTAATAACATATGTACATGGAAAACATTGACTCTGAGCTAACAAAGTCGACATATGGTGAAATAATCACTATGAGGCAGCACCTACGAATTCAAAAACAGTCATTAAGACGAATGGATTAAAATCTTACGTATCTCTTACCTATAAGATTGGTTGTTAAGTAAAAATTCATAGTATTGGATAAACTATTTTAATGGTGTATAAATTGTGTATAAATGCATTTACATAGAATTTCTGCAGAATTTGATCATCAATAACAACTAAAATATTGCAATAAGCAATTACTTTTCAAGAGCAAAATTTCATAGTTGGGTTTCTTTTATTTTTCGGCTTTGATATAAAAAAAAAATATTTATTAAATACCTGATTTGCACTGAAATGTAAGGCCATACTGGAAATTTTGTAATTAATTTCATTCCAATTTCTGAATTTTTAAAAACGTTAGATAAACATATTTTACACCATAATTTTGAAACCGAACGATTTACATTTTATAAAATAATTAAGAAAATATTTTATTTTGGTATACCTTTTTTATGTTAAAATTTATGTTAAAGTTTTCACTGAATACTTTTATAGGAAAATAATAATTGACTTCGAACTGTGAAATATATTGCATAGGTTACTAAGAAACATTGTTGATTTTTGGAATGTATCAAGTGAAATTCCAGATATGCATTCAAATGCATAAAAACGTGTACAAACTAATGATAAATATTCTCAAAAAAAACAAAACATATAACCTAGGATTTGATTTTAATAGAAATGACACATACTAAGTAAAATTCGTTTTAAAGAATTATATAAAAACACGAAACAGTTTTTATAATTTTATATTTAAAACAGTTTAAATATAAAAAACTCACACCTATGTATTCATTTTGGCGTACTGGTAAGAAAATTTCAATTTCATTTTTAAATTTCTATTATATTATCAGTTTGGATATATATGTATGTAACTCCATCATGTAGACTAAATATTTTCGAATTTTCATTATTTTGACTTTTTCATTCATCGTCCGAAGACACAACCAATTTTTTATAAACATGCGCTTGATTTCTTTCCACATTCTACTGAAGGTATAACTGCTGTAACCTAACATGTACTCATATTTGAAGCAAGGTTTCTTTTAATAATATACATGGATCATTGCGTTTTTTATTTCCTTTCAGCCCATTACTTTAACTATATAGCCCATTAACTTTATATAGTAATTTGAACCCATGTATACTTGTGTATATTCGATTGGAAGCCATGATTTTCACAATAATTTCAGTTTTAAGGCGCTGTAGTCTTGGTGATTGTACTCCATGAAGCATCACATCGTTTTTGGATCTCTTTTGGTTGATTAAACAGTATCCTAATATCATTATTCAATATTTTAGGTATTCAAGTTATCTGTAAGTTAATATTTTTTAAGGGCAAACGTTTCAATGCTTCCCAATTTTAGTGATTTTTACCATTATTGTAGATTGCCATGTTCGCACGATGTATATGTATTAAAATAACGACACCCACTGTATGGGTTTACATCCCACATACAAACAAAAATTGCTAAAATGATATTAAGCATTTGTAAGAAACTTAGTAATATTAATGTCAAAACGATTAATGTCGATTGCAAAAAAATATTACCTAAAATTATGAACACAATAATGTAAAATGGAGAAAAGTACAACACATTATATGTGTTACTTCATATGATAATCTGTGTGAGTTTTCAATTTTAAATTTGAATTTTCAAATGACTGCTGACAAACAATTTTTACTTAAGTTAAGCTTAAGTTTAAAATTACTAAAGAAATTATTTTTATGGCTGTTTTAAAAAGGGAACTACACGTAAATAAAGAATTTCTTCTAAATTTAAGCAATAGTAACTCATACTTAATTCACGAGTTTTTCATCGGGCGTATTCAGCCACTTCTAAGTGCGGCAAAAAACAATAAGTGTCTTCCTAAAGTTTCTAATTTATACGCCAAACAACATCACTACTTTCTTTATCTGACAGACTTGTTATAAAGTGTTGAATTATTAAAGAAACTACAGAAAATTTTATAAGTGATCTATTGTGAGCCTTAATTGAAAATTTCAACGAATAATCCAATCATCTATCAACAGTTGTTGGCAAATTTAATATTAATAATTAAATATTAAAAATATTAAATATTTAAACTAAACGTTTTAAGCATCTGAAAATTGTAAAAACAATTATTTTAAAAAATACAAAACTTTTTAAAAATATTAAGGAGAATTTTTATTAATTTTGTTAACAATTACTAACAAGTTCATACTTATTAAACGAAATTTCATAATTTTCTACATTGTTAACCTTACTTTTTATACGCTATTCCTATTAATTATTTTCTTTTAATTTTTTAATAAATATGCGAAATTTACGTACTGTAACAGTACGTACTGCAGTTTACGTACTGTAAGGCAGAGCTGGTGCTGGGGTTTACTCGAAAGAGCTAAATCTAACGTGCACTCTACATCTAGGAATATATGTTTCCGTCTATCAAGCGGAACTTATGGCGGTCTCTCATGCTCTGGATCACCTATTGGATTGTCAGGTATATCAGAAAAAGATTCTGATAGCGCTGGACAACCAAGCAGTTATCAAAAGCATGCAAAAGACATACATAACTAACAGCTTAGTACAAGAATGTGTAACGAAGCTCATGGAATGTGCTCATGGAAATGAGATGACGATCATGTGGGTTAAAGGACACATCGGTATTGAGCAAAACGAGAAGGCAGATGAACTTGCAAAGCAAGGATCAAGCCATAATTTCTGTGGCCCGGAGCCCAGAATACCATTGGGGTACAGCATGACGGCAGCCTATGTCAATAAGTGGATAATCTCACTTCATCTTAATAGATGGAGAGAGTTGAGCACTTCTAGACAGACCAAACTCATGTTACCTAAACCGTGGGCCAGGGAAGCGATAAAAGTGCTTAGCTATTCGCGGATCACTCTAAGCTGGCTGACCTCACTAATTACTGGACATGGCAACTTCAAGTATCACCTCAAAAAGATAACTCTTGCTGAGGAAGACACTTGCAGACTATGTCTAGAAGAAAAGGAGACAGTGGTGCATATATTGTGCCAATGTCCAGCACTGGCAAGTAGGAGGAAGACTGTTTTGGGACACCATTGGGTTGGTGACGACTTGGCAGGAAACCTCAAGCTAAATGAGATGCTTGCATTAACAAAAGATGTAGTTATGCGAACGGAAGCCACTCCAGCTTTAACTCAATAACAACATCCGAGAATCGAAGGACGAAAAAGGACCCAAGTCGTTTCGTGTTCTACTTCGACTAATCCTTCACTTCAGTGGGGCCACTTGTTGGACAGTGCGCTGTCCCAACGTCCCACCATATATATATTTTTTACGTACTGTAACGACACTTTTGGGGTGACGTTCAAAAATATAATTTTTGCTGGAGTATCCTCAGCCGTTGTCCAGGGTCGTAACAATAAAATTTGTATTCGCTGAGACAGAGTTTTGATTGTTAGGAAACAAGAAGCGTAGATTTGTAATATTTTATTAAATACTTTATTTACTCCAAGAAAACTATATGTATCCAACAAAATACATTTATAATTCAAAATAAATAATAATAATATAATAATAATAAATAATAATAAATATAATTCAAATAAAAAAAAGAAATATTTTTATAATTCAAAGAAATTATTATTCCCGCGCTTGATTATTTCATAGAGATGAACTTATGTCTCCTGAATACATGAATTGTACACGAGATCACTGTTGTAAAAGATAACGATGCTTCTGCGGTTGGCTTTGGTTTATGTGTTGAGAAGACTCCTGGCAGGACCGCGTGGCGAACCGAGTTTCTCTTCTCCTTTCGTAAACGACGGATGCCCTGTGCTAAGAAATATAATAATTTGTCTGAATTAGTCAGGTTAGAAAAATTATGATAATAATTTAATAATTTGACCGAATGGGCCAGGTTTATAATACTTTGGCTGAATGAACCAGAGTACTAAATAAGCCAAAGTACTTGTCCCTTTTAAAGTGAAAATCCAAGTCCTCGGTCACATGCGCGTTATTTTATACAGAATATGCCGTATATTTTGTACTATTTATGTTACTTGCTTTTTGTGCTTTTCTCGTGTACTTTGTGTTTTGTTCAACAAAAGCTTTCATGCTTTGACATTTCTTGTTGTTTGTAATTCACTACGTTTACGCGAGTCTTAAAATCACTTTTAAAACTGATTTTAAAATTTGTTCTTAGAGCGTTTACGCACAAAAATTAAAAGCACTTTTAAGGTAGCTGTCAATCAATCAGCTGTTTAACAGTAAACAGAAATGTTGATTTTAAACATTTTTAAAATGAATAGAGTAAAACTACAAATTGTTTTACTTTTATTGTAAAAAAGAAATATAACCAAAATTGTAGAAAATAATAATGAAGCAACAATGCAGATTTTTAAAACATCTCGTAAAAAATTTACAAAATTACGAGAAATGCGATTGCAGCTCTTTAATAAAATGGCAATAAGTTCCGCTAATGAGGCTTTAATGAATGTAAATGTTTTTATAAAGTTTTTCACACATAAAATATTTAGAATGCATTTTTGTTTTTAACTTCCACCACGAATAAGAACTTTTAGCAAAAGGAAGAGAAGTTCGGAATGGTGGGATGTTGAAGTTCTGTAGTTCTATGACGATGAACAATGGATTGTTGATTTTAGAGTGAATCGACAAATATTTTTCAGGCTTGTAGATTTACTTAAGGATAAAATGGCACCAGCAGAAAATACTTTCGTTGAAGGGTTGAATATTCCCAACCTGAATATATGTACAATCGACAAAATTTGTCGTCCGGACAACTTATGCGAGATCATATATGCGCGTACTTGGCGAGAAAATTTCCACTTCTACATAGAAGCAATTAAAAAAATAATGTAGAAAAAACCAATTTTAAATTAATTAATTTATAATTTTTTTTATAACTAACAATATAATATATATAATATAATATATTTATAACAATTTGTGCTTAATGACAAATTTAAATAATTGAAAATAATAAACTTAATTTAAACTAAACTAAAATGTTTTAAATATATAGTAAAGTTAAGATTTTCAAATAGAGAATAAAAAATAAACAAGTTTAATTAATTTAGATTCTGGGATGCAATTAGGCTTTTTCTATATTTTTTGCCGTCTAACAATTTAATTATTTGTTTTTCTGCAAATATTTTAATTAAACATTCTTCCTCCTCTTTCATCCAATTTTTTCTTTTCATTTCCCTTTTCTCCATATTTTTAGTTATTTGGTTAGTGTTATTTGTAATAAAATTCAAATTATTTGTACCTATTTACTGTTAACAGCTGACAATTCAAACCTTAAACTGCTTTTAAGGTGTTTACGCAAAGATTAAAAGTGACATTTCTTACTAAAAGTGATGTTAAACTACATTTAGTAAGCTTAAAGTGCTTTTAAGCAAAATTCAATTTAGGGTGTTTACGCGATCTTAAAATCGATTTTAAGAGCCTT